AGGAGAGAGAGAGAGAGAGAGGACATAGAGAGATAAAGCGAAAGAGCGAAAGACAGACAGGACGAATATGAGTGAGAAAATTGAAATTCTCTGCGTGCGGGACGCGTGGCGTGGGAGCCAAAGCAAGTGAACACGCACGGATGCGCCGCCCCGGTGCCTCAAGGGAGGCGAGTCCAGGATGCGTCTGTCGCAATGGCGACGTCACGCGAGTGCCATACAACAACGGTAAGAGAGAAAGGAATTAAAAAAAACGACTGAGAAAAAAATGACGATTTTAAGAGAAGAGGCGTGGAGTGGCGTGGCGTGCGAGTTACCTTCGCACTTCATGCCCTGATGGAGGACTCCGTACAGCAGAGAGCCGCAATGGTCGCAGAACGCCGGGCTGGAGTACGTGTGCACCTTGAAGCGATGCTTGGTCCGCGTCGCCTGGACACATGTCCCACAGACACAGAATGATGCACGTTCACGCACTCTCTCGCACAAGCAGACACACGCCCACACACGCTCAGACACACACACACACACACACACACACAGGCACGTTTGACGCGAAGTATTTTTCTAATTCTCCAGCTGCTGTGGCTTCGGGAAGCCTGATGTGATGCCTTCGATGAAGATAAAGGTGAAGTTCAGTTCCCAGCACCCTTATCCCATTCCCTTCCACCAACCATGGATGTACAGAATGAGTGCTGACGGCCCTTTATAAAATAAAAGAGGTATGCGATAGCATAATATTTTCTTTCACCACTCACTCACTCAGTCACCAACCTACTATCACAGACACATTTGTAAAATGTCGCCCTTGTCTTTCTTTTGGGGCCACAAACAAAGAAATGACGCCAAGCTACTCTTCTGGTAGTTATTAAGTTGCATACACTACAAAATGTCTGGGAAGAATCATTTTGTATTACAAGGGATTTCCTTCACATACTACTACCACCAACAAAACAGAACCACTGAATTACGAAGAACCGGCTTTGCATAGTCTACCAAACACTGCTTTTGTTATACGAAAGAGTGCGTCGCCACGGTAAAAAATATTTCGTGTATTTCAAGACCCGGCTTTGGATCTTATGGAGAACGCCAATAACGGCATGCAATCCGAGGTCTTGAAAACCGTTTCTTTGTGGGAAAGAAACCATTTCGTAGCTGAAATCAAGAAAAGTTTTTCGTTGAAACGACGACATTTTTTCGCTGCCCCAATTTTCCATTTCTTTAAACTAAAGAATTTTGTTGAACTAACAAAACGTTTTGTTTGTTACAGCTAAAATTTTGTTGATTTCAGCTACGAAAATATTTTGTTTGCACAAAGAAGTGGTTTTCTGAGTGCGCGCGTACTCTGTCTTACCGTGAGAAGCAATATTTCGTAATACAAAGTAATGCATCATGCTACAAAGCAGTCCAATTAATTTTAGGCTAACGAATCAAATATTTTGTAAACTTTTAACCAATGACTCTTTCTGCGCGATACACAACTCACAAGAAGTGCTTTTTTGGAACGTCCAACAAACAAAAGAAATGCTGTTGAATTGTTACGTAAACCAGGTGGCTGACTCACGCCGCGCACTTTCATAGACTGTACCGTATGCACGGGTGCAGGCGGGTTTGCCTATGTTCGCTCATCACGGCTCCTTATGGCCCCGTGCGAGTAGGCAAACCGCCCGCACGCGTGAATGCGGTAGGTAAAACTCCGGCGTGGATCAGCCAATGGGTATTTTGGAACGGAAACCATGCAAAAAAACTCTTTCGGTTGAATCCAACTAACATGTGCAGCAACATTCATTAGAATTCTCGGCATTTTAGTCACAAAAACCTGAGACGCAACAGAACAGCACAATTTCCCAGCAGCGGTCTCAGGCAGTATTCTAATTCAATTTCAGGTTAACAACAAGATAATGATTTTCTGGAATCGGACGAGGTTTGGAAGCGAAGAAAAAAGTAAAACAGGTGAGGGCGAAGAATCTTAAATGTTATCAACATTCCCATCCCGACTATTAACTTAAGCGTTGTAGACTGTAAAGTTTATGTACAACCAACCATTCTTAAAATTAAGTTCGAAGTACCTCTATAAACCACAAATCGAGAGAGTGACTTATAACGACTTCTTACACATTAATTCCAAAACAAAATGCGTCCCGCTACCCACCAAGCAAACATTAAAAGCAGACACTCACTTGGGAGCGTGCAACGGTGCAAAGGTCCTATTATACGGGATAAAACAGAACAAACGAAATTTACACAAAAAACATTCAGCAAATAAAATACCCGCAGGTTCACATTTTAAGCTCGCCACGCGAGTTCCGTGTAGAAACGGGAAAATAGGAGTGTGTCCACGGGAGCGCGCAGACAGCAGTCTCAGACAAAAATATTCATTTTTGTTCGGCGTCTGAGAGGCATGCACTCCAGCGTTGGGGAGGGGCTGTACGCAAAATGGCGCAACCAGTCGCGAAATGCTATTAAAGTGGCAACCCCCCTCCCTTCCCCCGGGTATCTCTCCCTCTCCCGCTCTCTCTCTCTCTCTCTCTCTCTCCCCTTCTCCCCCTCTCTCGCGCTCAAGACGACACTAAACCGTTGCGCATTTCACGGGGCGAGACTACGCGTTCCGTTATGAGCGAATAAAAGCTTTCCCACTTGCCTGACTCCCTACTGCGAAGCCGAAACGTCGAGGATACCCTAGAGGAAAAAAGAAGCAAGAAAAAGTACACAGAAAGAGGAAGAGACAGACAGAGAGACAGAGAGAGACAGAGAGACAGAGAGAGAGAGAGAGAGAGAGAGAGAGAGAGAGAGAGAGAGAGAGAGAGAGAGACTAATCCCCCCGGCCCACACAGTCGGAGTCGGACCCGACTGTCCGAACAGCCGTCATCCCCGCCCCTCACACTAATTAGAGGTCAACGTGACCGGTTCCATTCAGCCCCCCCCCCCCCTTCTCCACCTCTTCCTCCGCCGTCCGAACAACCCAAACCCCTCCCACACGGCAGCAGTCCGTGTGACACAAGTTGCTGACTCGGTGAAGCGGGGGACCAAGCCAGATATCGGACGCGTCGAATACGTTTTCTCCCCGATTCCCGCGGGTTCGTAATCGCCTCCTCCCCCATCTTCGTCGTGCCGTCCTCGCCGCTCTGCACCTACCGGCCGCTGGGGCCGGGGAGCGCCCGCCGCGCGCGACCTAGGCCAGCCCGCCAGACACGGGCGCGCAGAGGGTGGCCTACGCGGCCGCTGGCAGGCGCTACGGGCGCGCCGCGCGCCTAAGGATCAGTGCCCCCCTCCCCTCCCCCTCACTTTCCCCTCCCACCGCTCACCCCAGAGAGAATATCATCTCGACTAGTCTCGACATAACGCCAGTCTGTCGTTTCATAATTTAAAATCCCACATGGAGAAAAAGTCGAGGTAAAAGGACATCTATTTGTCTTTTGTGTACGTTTGAAGAAAAGTTTACATTTTTGCGTCACGTTTTTTTCTTGTTTATTTTTCCCCTTTCAGACGACATGGAGAATTATTGATGGACCCCCATAGCGCAGAATAAGAAAAGAAGTGGAATGGTGGTGGTATGGGCCTCACCCGACCCCAGGTCACAAAGCAGCTACAAGAAACGGCGACCTCATGATCCGGTAACCGAAACAAACTTGAATGACCCGCAACCAGTTTCCCTTCCAATCAACTAAATCGGCCCGTCAACCAAGTTAACGAGACCAAGCCGAGTTATACTTACGTCCGAGTCCGGGCCCTTGTCCGCGCCGGGGCAGGTGAACGACACGTACTCATGGCAGCGCTTGTGGACGACGAAGCTGCACACTGCAAAGAAAAAGATTAGGTTATTAAAACGAGTCTTTAATTGTAGTAGGTTACCCGGGTATGCGGGTAAAAGTGAGAGCCCTAGTTTCTTCCTAGTAGGAAGAAACACGGTAAATAGTGAAAGTTTGGATTTGGAAACCATAGTATCCTATCGTGGAATGTAGCATAGAAAGCACACCGTGTAATCTCAGCTTTCCACCTTAAAATGCTTGTTTTTTGCACAAGGAATGCGGTTGCACTAGTCAAGAATATTCTGTCCAACGCTTGCAACAGTGGGAATGTTCAACTCTACTGTTGCAGTTTTAGAGGTTTTATTATCGCCTCATCGACAGCGAAGCCCTTTACACCAAAGAACTACACTTTTCCGCCAAGCGCTTGCGAACCGTTTTCAAAACGGAATTGTAAATAGAGCAAACTTCCAGCTTCATAGACATTTTTTCTTTAAATGCTCGACTTGCGCACGAATCGTACAATTTCTAATTGCCACAGAATTTTGACAGCTCCTTTACACAGGCGTTTGACGCGCACGCCTTTCGCATTGCGAATACTTCACGTCGCGCGCGTTCCGCTAGAATAAAATACCAACCGCGCCAAAACTCTTTGCACCTGACATTCCATCTAACTTTTTCGCGGCGGGCGGTCGAGTCGGGCTTGGGCAGAGCAGAACGAGGCAAAGCAAAGGCGGCAGGCAGAGCCAGAGGGATAGCCGGGGAGAGCCGGGCAGAGCTCTGCTAGCCGGTTCGAGCCAGCTGCAGCGGGACGGGGTGCAGGCTGGCGTGCCAGGCTATGGACCATGCCGGGTGGTCGATGCGCACCGGCCTGGGAAGGGGGCAGGAGGAGAGAAGGGCAGGGGGGTAGGCGGCGGCGGGGGCGGCGGGGCGGCCGGGCGGGGCACGTCCGGAGGGGCCCGGGCGATACGGGGGGGGCGGGCGGCGGCGGCGTCACGGCGCTCCTCGGCACGAAGGGTAAGGGTTCGGTTCGCTGAGCGTCCTCTAGGCATCAGTCCCCCTATACCCCCCCACCAGTTCACCCTCCCCCCCAAGGGGGCCAGGAGGGGAGGGGGGCGGGGAAAGGGGGTAATAACAATGGCAAGTACGGCAACAGCTGCAGCACATGCCTTATCAGTCGCAGCAACAGTGCCGCCCGCCTCCGCTGGCTGCTCCGTCATGACAAAGTCGGGCTCAACCGTGAAATTGTGCGGCGCTAGCCGTGAATACGGCCGGAAGCGAGCTAAGCGCACACGAACCAGCCCGGCGCTGCTCGCTGAGCTTGCCGAAATATTGGACATATCCAGCCAAATCCATCGCCGAAGATAGCAAGACATTGTATCAATGATGATAAATTGTAAATCTACTCAAAAACAAACTTCAACATTCTGGGAGTTTTATTTTCTGCCATTCAGAGTGCCAAGAATTCTGAATAGTAGATGCGTGCCAGCAGTAGGAGAGGGACATCTTGCTTAAAAGTGTGCAACCATCGCAGGGCCGGATTGCCAGGGACAAACTGAAACCAATGCTTCATTATGTACTTTAGGTTCTCAGTAAGATCCCAAGCTTGCCGAGTGGCCACCTGCTGGCACCATTACCTCTAGAGCTCGAGGGCGGCGAGAGCCCCTGCCAACCATACCAGTGGACTCAACGGGTGAGGGTTAAGAATAATATGGAGGAAAAGAGGGGGGGAGCGGGGGAGCTGAGGAAAAGGAGGAAGAAGGGGGAGAAAGAAGGGGGAAACGAAGAGGAAGAAGCACTCACAAGAATGAAAAGAAACGAAAAGACGGTCTAAGAATGTTGAGCGACTCCACATCAAGACGAAGACGAACTGACAAAAGCGCTAATTTAATTAAAGCAGAAACTTCTCGATGTCTGTGTAATATTGCTCCGGGGGCGTGTTTAAGATCCCTCCCGCCCTCCCTCTGCCGCCCCCGGAGTCGCACTCGGGCCCCCGCGCATTCTCGCCCGCCCGGCACCGTTCAGCAAACACGCACTGACGCACGGCGCGCCCTTGTTTTAATATCCCTCTTTCTGTTTGCAAAAGGTGTGCCAAGCTAGAGAGGGCTGGGCGGAGAATGGGATGAGAATAGAAGGTGGGCGGAGAGGGAGAGAGAGGATAGAATGGAGGGAGCAAGAGAGAGGAAGAGAATTTCAGAATTTGAACTACTTTATTTGGTTCACATTCACTCTTTGTCTTGGAAAAAAAATGCTTCGTAACCTAAGAGGCCGGTTGCCAGAAAATGGTATGTCCTTGAAGCAAGCATAGATGCCTTGCATGGAGGTCTTTTTAACCTTAAAAAATACAAGGGAATTTTCCTTAGCATAATGCAATCATTGTTAAAAGAAAGAAAAAATCGTTAGATTAACGAAACTTCCTTGAGAACAATGGAAATGCCCCAAAACAAGGATAACAATTTCCTTGTATTTTTAAAAATTAACTTTGGTTTAAGGGTACCATTTTCTGGGTGTAGCTTGCGAAGACAATCTTGTACATGCTCTCCTGGTGCGGCGCTTCTAGCGCACGAATGTGTGTGTATGTGTGTGTGTGTGTGTGTGTGTGTGTGTGTGTGTGTAATAATGATGCAGCACGGGGTCCCAACTCCGAACTGTCTACGCGTCATCATTGGTGGCGCGGAGCTGCGCCCCAGGAGCTGCCTACCAATCACGAGATGGGGGTGAGGAATGAAGAGACGGCAGGAGGAAGGGCGGCGGGCGGCGGGTGGTGGAGGAGCCGCGACTAACGATAGAGCATCCTACAAAGCGTCGTCTGCTTGTTCTCGCTGATCTCGCCAGAGCCCGTGCCAACGGCAGTCAACGAATTTCAACGACACCCCACTCGTGGCTGCGGGTAAGAGCGCGCGAGCGAGCGAGGGGGAGGAGGGCCCGACCCGAATCTAGAGCGCGCGGAGAGGCTGAGGGAGAGAGAGAGACTACGAAACGGTACACACGCAGCAGAGGGAGAGAAGAGAACACACAAAAGGGAGCGAGAAGAGACATCGCGATTGTACAATAATTTAGGTCAAGGAGCCCGAGTTTGTTTGCCAAATCGCTTATTGGAGGGCGAAATTGCCTGCAAAATTCATCCCCATCCGGGCCGGCTGCAGGCAGGGGCCCCTGCAGCCGCCTGGAGCCCCTTAATTAAACACGAGCCCCACAGCAGGGCCCCGCCCGGCTTACTTATTTACCGGCTGTGGTCCGTCGGAGGCACTTACGGCACTTGATAAGCGCTCCGGACCACTGCCGCTGTTCTTCTGTCGCATCTTTTTTTTTGTTCGCCTCTCAAAGTATTTGTCGCGCACAGCAGTCTCTCGCATTAGGAGATGTGCTGAGGCGGACGGCGCTGCCTGTTGAGACAGCTCTAGCCCCCCCCCCCCTTCAACCGCACTGGCCCGCAGCCCGCACCCGGCGGCACTGCCCTTTGACGAACGCCATGTTTTCTTCATTTTCCTTACTTTCTCCGTTTTGCGCTGATGGAATTTATTTCCCTCTGGCCCGTGCGGGTCGAGTTGACAGGCGGGAGAGGCGAAAGAGAACAGCAAGAGAGAAACGAAACGAGAGCGGAACGCGGTATTGTACAGAGGTACTGTAAGGGGCAGCCTTCCGAGGGACATGTTCACCTCTACCATGGCAAATTGAAGTAGAAACGGCATGAGTAATTATGCATCACATAAGGTTCCATCACAAATATTTCTTGATCATTGGCGCATGTCTGGCGCTATACTCAAAGAAAATTTCGGACCTTTACAACACTTTGTGAAAAAGATTTTCCCGCACACTACGGAAAACCACAACTCTACCTTGTGACTATGAGATTCCGCGACTAGAGACGCGGTGTACCAATGATTTAAAAAAATTGTAAACGAATCGAAATGGCAATTTTAGCTAGAAGGAGTCGTTTGGATTTCACAAATGCCACGTATGACTAGCGCCTCACGAGCGGCGGATAGGCAACGCCATGTCACGCCGGTGGGGCCGGTGCCCTACCTCCCGGCGCTCTCGCGGAGATGAGCGAGCGCCTTACGAGCGGCGGGTAGGCAACGCAATGTCACGCCGGTGGGGCCGGTGCCCTACCTCCCGGCGCTCTCGCGGAGATGAGCGAGCGCCTTACGAGCGGCGGG